AACGGGTAGAGAGAATTTGGTAGAGATATGACATATTTTATCAAAATTGCCTTAACTCAGTTTAAATTATGCTAAATCATTATCATTCAACACAATAGGTTAGTAGCTCAACAGTAAGTCTGCAGGCTTAAGACGCTAAAAATCGGGTTTCGATACCCCTGGAGGATTTTTTGTTGTTTTATGTTGTTGTTTTTTTATTTCGCGCAAAGCTACACGAGGGCTACCTGCGCTAGCCGTTCCTAATTTAGCAGTGAAAGACTAGTCAGCTAGTCATCACCAGCCATCGCCAACTCTGGGGCTACTCTTTTACCAACGAATAGTGGGATTGACCGTCACGTTATAACGCCCCCACGGCTGAAAGGGCTAGCATGCTTAGTGGGACGGGGATTCGAACCTACGACCCTCAGATTGCGATTCGAGCCCCCTAACCACCAGGCCACGCCGGGCGGGCCCCCTGGTGAACAGATCACAGTAGCATATTATTTATCTTTGTGCTTAACAACAACCAAACAAGTTAAATACGCACGTTGTGAGTTACAGTTAAGATTAACGCATGTACTAGAATTAGATATTTTAAAACTCTTTAAAAATGGCACAGAACATCATGTTTGAAAAACAACAACAACAATAAAACGAAGAAGAAATCATATCTTAAAGAACGTTGACAAACTTTAAGCCTAATTGTTGCATGTTTGACCATTTAAACTATAGTATTAGGCTCAGAATAAAAAATATATATTTCAGCCGAACTTCAATATTCATGCAATGGTATTTTAAACGGGTTTAAGCTCAATTAAGACAAAATTCTCATTATATAAAGAATCATTAGTTTTACTATAATTCTCCATAAGACGTTTGAAGTAACAGTTTTTGTTTGTTTGTTTCGGATATTTGCGCAAAGCTCCTTCTGTGTTCGCCGTCCCTAATTTTGAACTGGCAGGCAAGAGGGGAGACAGCACCAACCATTAACTTTTGGGCTACTCTAATACACTAGTGGGAATGACTGTCGCTCTCATAACACTCCTACAGCCCCAAAGTGCGGAGTGCGATTTTGCAGCAACGAGATGCGATCTATGAACCTTCAAGTGCCAAATTATTGGAAGCTTTGCTGTAAACAGTGCATCACTTGATTTATTGTTGAATAATATATTGGAAACTACACAAATAATTAGTATATATACTAAGGAAACAAGATTTCGGAAAATAAATAATTTAAAAAAAAATTCAACTGTCTAGTTAATCTATTACTCATCTAACCAAAAAACTGTGATATGAAGCAAATATTAAAACTACATGCTTGAAAATTATTTTAAAATGCCGAAATAATAAACAACTTCTCCTCCATTACAAAACATTTCTACATTAAAACATATTACGTTAATTAGTGATGCCGAAGTATACGTTACGTTAAATGTAACAACAAAAAAAAATGTTGTATAATTTTATCGCTGTGTTTTCAAATAAGGCCTGATCAATTAATTATCTTAGCATATTTCTTTTAAATGCTTACGAAATTCTGAAACGATAATTAACGTTTATCTATTCTTATAAGTTACTTGAATAAGCTGTTCCGGTTACAAGCATAACTCCTACAAAACTCTCACACAAACGATACCAAAACGAACACAGTAAATCCTAAATTATAGAGTGATTCATAAATCATTAAACGAATTATACAAATTTGTTATATAACTTGAATTATTGGGAATTATGAGCACCCAAGATTGGTAAATTAGAGGCCTCTCCCGATTATACAGGAACTGGTAAAACCGTCGGTTAAGCTGACATTTTCATCCAAAAATTAATATTCCTGCCCTTTAGAGTAATAAACAGTGTTCTCCTCCTTGTTGTCTTTCTTTGTCACCTATTTATGTTGTACACTATCTATATTTTAGCTTCGGTGTATGGAGGTCCCCGGTAGAACAGCGGTTAGTTTACGGACTTACAACGCTAAAATCCGGGGTTCTGTTCCCCGCGTTGGACAGAGCCCAGTTAGCCCAGTTTTGTAATAAGACAAGAAGAACGGCGTTTGAGTCAAAAAAACGATATTTTCTGTGAAGAGAGAATTTTCATCAGATTCTTCACGTAAGGTGTCGTTTGTATTGATACAGAAGTAATAGAAAATGATAATCTCTTGTAATAAAAAAAGTCTGATGAGGAGAACTGTTTCTGTAAGCATCAACAACTACATAGAATACCCTACTAATTTAGACGCTATAAAATTAAACACGTAAATTATTTAATTTAGCAGGAAATACCTCCCTCATTTCTGGAGTCCATCTCTTTACGGATTCCAAATTTGACAATGATTTAATATAATCTGTAGGATAATCAAAGTCAGCAACTGCCATCTGAATACCCTAATTGTAGCTGTTGTACTGCAGTTTAATAGAGATTCAGATGTAATCTTAAGCTGTTATTGTGTATTATAAACCCTAGGCGGCAGAGTCGGAGAAGGGCACTCAGGGTACGTGCCCCCAATTTTGACCCTGTAGCGAAGTGACTTTGAGTGGGAAATAGAGACGTGTGTAACTATCATGGAAAATCGCTGTTTCAGTTTTGAATGGAATGGTAACGGTTAACATAGAAAATAAGGAGCTTCCAATTGTCGGTGCTCCTCCGCACAGCCAATTGAAATATGTTCCGCCGACTACGTTATAAGTGTTGTAATACTGGCTTCTAAATATTATTGTAATTATACTATAAACTTATAACTGCATTAACTATATTCTTTAATTACTTGTTAAGTAGACGTCTTGTTTATAAACACATATTCCCAAACGGATCTATATATACGTCTGTCTATGTGCTACTTCGACTATTTTTTTAATAATCCATTTGAAAACTGTTTTTTTTTTAACTATACTCCTATTTGTAAAGAAACAATGTAGTGAAAAAAAACACCCCCCATATATACATACAAATTATCTCATCACACATTCTTATTTAAGAAACGCTTTTGAAAAGGTAAAGATGATTCTATACCACATTTAATTTCTCTAAATATGGAATAACACCTTCGGAGAGAGGATAAGCCTAATCAAGGACAGCCTAGATTGAAGGTTCGTCCTTCAATTGGTAGCTAGGCTGATAAACATCTTTCATTAGAACGAATACAAACAAAATTGAGATATCAAAGTAGTCTGAAGATGCTGTACACATTGAACATTTGTTCAGCCTCGTCAAGTTGATTCTAAAAGAAGTTAACATTAAACATCAGATTCAGTATTACTATTAATTTGATGTCCATGTATCATAACCAGGAATATATTACTTTGGTATCACTGCTGGGAGTTTCCTTCCCAACGTTATTTTTATTAATATTGGTGCATTAGAAATGAAATAAAGAATATTCTCTGTGGCGGAGTTTTAGTTATTTAGTGCATTGTAATGATGCTGTAGTATATTATCACGAAGTTGCACATGCTGTTTAATACTATAATTAAAGTTGTAATGCTGTACTTCACTAGAACATTTGTAGTGTACCATATCGAAGCTTTAGTACCGTAATGTACTTTAACTAAAGTTGTAGTATTGTATTACATTTTAATTAAAATTGTTGTGCTGTAATTCACTATAATGAAGTCTTAAAGCCGCAAGTTACTATGATGAATTGTATAATTATAAAACACTATAATGAAGTTGTAAAGGTGTAGTTTAATGAGATTTAGTACACTATAATGAAGTT